ATATTCTATTGTCATACAGCAGAAAACTGGAGCTGAATAAAAGGTGAAATCATTGAGCTGACAAAAAACAAGACAGGAAATTGTGCAAGAGGTTTTCAGACACCTGCTCAGCAACTTTACACCCTGTAAAGTTCAAAATCTCAAACAAAAAATAGGGGGAATTGTTTATAAACAGAGTTAAATCTTAAGAACAGGGTATGTTTTAGATCAAATATTTTGACTTCTTCATCAGGCGGACAAGAGAGGAGGTTTCGAACCACACAGCAAAATGGAAGTTGATCCTCCCTGTATATTGTTCGCTTAAGTCTTCCTTTTTTGGTTTCATTCTTGCTACGTCCTTAAAATAACCACGTCGGGATTAGGCTCTTTAAGTCTGAATCAGGGGTGTGTTCACAGGTGACTAAGCTTTTGTGTCATAACCTAAATCCTGTACGATAATGAACGTAAGCACTGGTCAACTGGAATTCCTGTTTGTGACGTAAGCATTTGAATAGTTTCAGTGATGCATGACAACAAAATACAAAATATGGTTGTCACTTAAAGTGGAACCTTTAAAGCCAATGCAAAGGAAATCAGGAGCTATTTCCCAATTCAAACAGGATGAAATGAATCATAGGTCAAACCGAACTGTATCATCCATTATTTTATACATATACTTTGCTTGATGACAGTGGAAAATGGCATGAACAGTGTTAGCCCACAGGCTTCTAGCTCAGGCCAATAAGAGTTTTTCTGATTTTACCTCTTTTTTTTCTCATGGGATGTAGTTCCCAATATTTCTGATTTAGTTTATTTTGGCTTTAAAAGATAATCAACTTCAGCCTTCAGTCTGTCATCAAAGAAACCAAAAGAGAACCAAGAGAGCAAAGCTATAGGCTTACAAAGAAAAAAACACAAGGAGAGTCTGAAAATGTAATCTGGAAAAGTTTTTGGCCTCGCCAAATGGAACTAATGAGAATATGCGACACAGAAAACAGATGACAGAGCAGAAAGGTTTGGAGTATAAAGTTGCCCTTTTATTAGTTGTATTTATTTTAGGCAGTGCAGTTTGGTTTGAGGAAAGTTTTACTGTGCGCTCTTAAGAAAAGAGTAATTGTCTCCATTAGTTTGGCGCTTATGTATGAACTACAGGAAGCCAGAGAGACAAAACCAACATGGGGAAAAGACAGAGGGTCAGATTTAGGTGAGAATGGCCATCAGCATTAAGGTCGGATGGCTCTGCAGACAAAGACAAGTGGGTAAAATATTGTTCTGTTCATTTATTCAGTATTACAGCACATTTATAGCAACAACTTTAAATTCAGATTTCTTTAGGGAGTAATTCTGAGAAGCACAGAGGACATTAAATTAGGTCCTGTTTATTAGTCTGTGCTTTGCAGTTATTAAATTACAATTTTATTAAAAGCTACTTTATGCCTCAAAGATATTATTCTCTGACAATAAAAGCACAAATCTAATATTATCCAGGATATGAAGGAGCTCAGTAGTTTTTGATGCGGCCTGTTGTTATCATTAATTTGTTTGAATCCCCTTTCCGCCTATCCTGTTTTTACTGAGACAGTTCCCAGATCTCTACAGATCTGATGTATCATTGTGGACGAAGCTCATTGCTAGTTTGTGTCCATCTCAT